GTCTGGAAGGTCATCTGAAACCTGTCCACCATGGGTGACCCTGCTGATATTTAAAATACCGGTGGTATAGCTTTCAGAATCACAGCAACTCACAAGCCAACACAGTGCGACAAAATGACAGACAAGTGGTGGCCGTTTGGTTACTTTTTTGATAACTTAATAAAGCCCATTAAATGTATTAAAACCTAATAATGACCTCACCTAAGATGTTTTAGACAGTCACGCAGTTAGATGTAGATGGGGGAAGAGGGTTGATACTTTTATTGGAGGAAAGAGCCTTTTTATGTCTCTACAGGTAGGATTTTTTTTCTATCATAGATAAGCTAACCCTCTTCTTAACCACAGTAGGTTCAATACAACTCTGTTAACAGAGACATCATCCTGGCTCATGAGAAAGGGAGCCTATTTCCTAAAAGTAAATACATGTAATGATTCAGTCTTTTAAACTCAGATCATTGTGCCTAGAAATCCATCTCTCTGATGTGTGTTTGCTCCAGGTTGGGACACACAGTACAAAGTCTCATGAAAGAGAACATTTATTTTGGAATTTCAACAAAATCCCACTACAGGTCAAGGGTCACAATAATGACCTTGTTTAGAAGCATCCTTTACATTTTCACATTGTCAGTGATTTTAACAACAGCAAAACATTCCTTCCTTATGAATAATTGTAACCTTACTTCTCTTTATTCCTTCTACCTATTCTGTACACCAGTGACTAAGTCTGCTCCTATGCCTATCACAGATGATGTTAAATTATGTCCCCTGCTCCAAAAACCTTCAAAGTTTTCCAAATGTTTATGGAACCTTAAACACATCTCAGATGGCCTCAGGACATTCTATGCTTACCTGCTCTTCTCTAAATGAGTGTATTCTACAAAGTGGCTTCAATACCATAGGTGTTTCACATAGGTTAGTTGAATATAAGATGAAGAATAATTTAGAAAATGACAGCACTATCCAAACAGAAGACGTAAGCCTGTTGCTAATCAGGGAATGATACGAACTGACGATCACAGCAGGCAAGATGAACATCAAGAAGAATAAATGGCTGTTACTCTAAAGTACCTACATTCTGGAATGAAAATTAAAATATACAAGGGAAGGGCCAGAGACTCAAGTCAGATTCAGACAATGACGTGGAATGATGGATATCCCTGCTGATGTCAGCTAGATCTTGGATAAAGGCAGAAATTACCAGAAAGATGCTTACCTGTTTTTATTCACTATGCATAGGCATTACACAATGTGGATAATAATAAACTATGGTTAATATTGTGAAGAATGGGTTTTCCAGAACATTGAATTGTGCTAATGAAGAACCTGTACGGAGACCATAAGGCAGTAGTTCAAATAGAACAATATGTATGCTGAGCAAATAATTTGAAAAGTTAGACTATATGAAGAAGAATGCAGCAATGGAAGTTAGGGGAAGGTTCATTAACCTGAAATATAAA